GATTGTAGCAGCAGGAACTGGTGAATTTGAAGCTGGTATCTCTAACAACGGACAAACTCGAGAGCACGCTTTGCTTGCTTTCACTTTAGGTGTCAAGCAACTGATTGTAGGAGTTAATAAAATGGACTCAACTGAGCCACCATACAGTGAGGTAATTGAAAATGAATCAATTTGCATATTAAATTCGGTTCCAGCTCCACAGATATGTTTCGTTTTATCTGTGGCGTTTTCATACCGATAAATTAATATTATTCTGTATCGTCGCTATGTCAGCATGTGTTAATATTATTTGTTGATACGTTAAGCAGATACATTTATTTATTTTTTTTTTTTTCTTTTTTAATCAAGTTTGTATAATTGGTTTTTTTTTTTAAATATTTTCAGTCTCGGTTCGAAGAAATCAAAAAAGAAGTATCTAATTATATCAAGAAAGTTGGTTATCAACCTGCTAGTGTTGCTTTTGTACCAATATCTGGTTGGCAAGGTGATAACATGTTGGAACCATCTGATAAAATGCCTTGGTAAGTGTCTTGATGTTTTTTTTTAATAAAAAAAATTTAATATTAAATATAATAATAACTCGAATTTTATTATTAATTTTTTTTTTTTTTTTTTTTTAAGGTTCAAGGGATGGAAAATTGAACGTAAAGATGGCAACGCTGAAGGAAAAACTTTGATTGATGCTCTTGATGCTATTTTACCACCAAGCAGACCAACTGAAAAGCCTCTTCGACTGCCATTACAGGTTTATATCACTTGTTCAATAATTTCTACAATGTCTTGAATTTTTGAAATCATATGTGACTTGATTTTGAATTCTTTTTTTAGGATGTATACAAAATTGGTGGTATCGGTACTGTGCCTGTTGGTAGAGTAAAAACTGGAGTTTTGAGACCTGGTATGGTCATTACTTTTGCTCCGATTAATTTAACTACTGAAGTTAAGTCTGTTGAAATGCACCACGAAAACTTACAAGAAGCTGTGCCAGGAGATAACGTCGGTTTTAACGTCAAAAACGTTTCCGTAAAAGAATTGCGACGTGGATACGTTGTTGGTGACGCTAAAAATAATCCACCAAAAGCTGCAGCTGATTTCCTTGCTCAGGTCATTGTGCTAAATCACCCTGGACAAATATCAAACGGATATACTCCCGTATTAGATTGTCATACGGCTCACATAGCCTGTAAATTTGCTGAAATCAAAGAGAAATGTGACCGTCGTACAGGAAAAACAACCGAAGAAAATCCCAAGAGCATTAAAACAGGAGATGCAGCCATCGTTAACTTGGTTCCATCTAAATCCATGTGTGTTGAATCTTTCTCCGAATTTCCGCCTCTAGGTCGTTTTGCCGTTCGTGACATGAGGCAAACCGTTGCTGTCGGAGTTATTAAATCTGTTACTCAGAAGGATGTAACTTCTGGAAAAGTAATTTTTTTTTTTTTTTTTTTTTTTTTTTTTTATCTCATAGTTTAATTTTATAATGTCGTATAATCAATTAATGCTCTTTTTTTTAGGTAACGAAAGCCGCAGAAAAAGCCACAGAAAAAGCCAGGAAAAAATAACTAGTTGCGTTGTTCGGTTTGACAGGGGGCTCGTATTTTTCTCTCCCCCTGCCCCCCACGTACCTCTTTTCTACTTGGCTCATTCAGCATTCTTGCAATGCAATTACATTGTTAATTAGTTTTTTAAGAGTTTATGAAACTATGCTAATTGTTCATTGGATTTAAAATTTAAAAAAAAAAAAAAAAAATCTGAGATGTTTTAATCGGCCCATAAATTCACCGCCCCGGCCTGACCACATTCGAAAGTATTTAATTAAAGAGTTTTCTTGTGCAGATAGTAAAAAATAATTAAGAAAAATAAATCGTTTAAAAGTGATTTAATTAAAACACAGTATAGGTTATATTACGATGGACAAAAAAAAAAAAAAATTTATTCAGATGAGACAGGGGGCTCATTTTCTTTTTTTTTCCTCTCTTTCTCTCTTGGGACCCCCACGTACCCCTTTTTTTTAATTGACTCATTCAGCATTGTTTTCATCGTAAAGGATTTCGTGGGAAAGCACGGCTGAATATCTATATTTTGTTTTAAAATTATTTTTTAACCATTTTTTTTTTTCTTAATTATTTTTTACTATCTGTTCAAGAATACTTGTAAATTAAATGCTGTCGTCTGCGACTCGGGCCCGGGGCGCGCAAACGTATGGGTTTGTTAATAAATCTCAGATTCAGTTTTTTTTTTTTTTTTTTTTTTAAATTTTAAATCCAATGAACAATTAACATAGTTTTCACAAACTCTTTAATAATTAATTAACAATGTAATTGCATTTAATTTAGTCTAATTTGTTTTAATTTTTTTTTTTTTTAATGTGTAGTTTTCATCAATTTATTTGCAAAAATTTATTTTTTTTTTCTTTTTTTACAAAATTGGTTTTTTCCTTTAATTAAACGTGTTTAACAGAATGTTTTTTTTTTTTTTTTATGCTGAGTCAATAAGTTAAAAATAATTACATTGTTAATAAATTTTTTTACTTTTTAAAAAATTATTAAAGTCGAAAAGGGAGTAAATCCGAAGTGTTTTTATTTAATTTTAATAATTTTGTTTTACCCTTTCCTAATAAATTATCGAAAATTTTACTTTTAAATTCTGAGATGAAATAAATGCTCTAGTAGTATGAATTTTTAGCTAAAAAAAATTATTAGGATGTGCAGTATACGATATGAAGTGGTGGTAAAGTAATTCATTTCCTGCCAAATTGTGAATGACGTGGTTTTAGAATATTCAAGAATCACGACAATTTGTTTCTTTAGGATTATTTACAATGAAAAAAATTAGAGAAGTATATAAAATATTAACGTTAAAATATCCTATCGGGAGTCAAGCCATACAAACCGGTAAAAAAAAAGTTTTTATTTGTTTGTTTATTCATTTCTTTCTTTAAAAAAAAAACAACTAATTCGAAATGAGTGATAAATTTTAGGACTAATAATGGGCAATGGGGATGTCATAGCACAATTATTAGTTGAAAAAAAACCTTTTTCTTTATTTGATTTTTTGAGGACTTCACAATACGTATTTGTTGGTTCTTTTTTTGTGGTAAGACAGAAAAAATTTTCAATATATATATATATATATATTTAAATTTATAAAAATTTATTATCAAAGTCATAAACTATTTTATTTTGAATTTTAATTAAAGGGTCCATCTCTCAGGGTTTGGTATGGGTTTATAGATAAAATTTTTTCTGAAAAAAATAAAACTACTGCCGTGAAGAAGATGTTGGTGGATCAGTTATTATTTGCACCTGTTTTTTTGGCTGCAGTGTTATCAGTTATTGGAATCACTCAAGGAAATTCTTTAAAAAGCACTTATGAAAAAGTATCAAATGAATATTCTGATATTTTAAAAACAAATTATACAGTTAGTAATGTTTTTTTTTTTTTTTTCTTAAATAAATTTTATTATATTTTACAATTGTTTTGTTAAAATTACTAATATTAAATTTCATATATTAAATTGTACTCTTGTACTTCATGACAGTGTGCTTTTGTTTTTGAAATGTTTAAAATTTTTTTACATTATGAAATTAAAATCATGTAAAATATATTCAAAAGTCGCATGTTGTCGTTTACATTTACAATTAGATTTATTTTACGATTTAATTAATATCTGTGATTTTTATTTACAGATTTGGCCGGCTTTTCAGTTGTTTAATTTTTATCTAGTTCCTTTACATTACCAAGTTCTAGCTGTTCAAATAGTTGCAATATTTTGGAATACTTATGTGTCATGGAAAATTAATAAAACTGCATAATATTCACAGAAAGTACAACTGTCAACTCCAATTTTTTTTTTAAGTTTGGAATTTTCACTAAGGAAGCCTAAAGATAAAATTTTCAAATAATACAATGTAACTTACATGTTTTTATCGTTTTCAATTGGTGTGTGACTTATACTTTTATAATTTTAAGCAAAGTAATATTTGTCCTTCAGGTACCTACCTTCTATATTTTGTTCATTTTATTTTTCCATCTACAATTTTATACATTTCCTAGAATTTACATGTATTTTTTAGTGTTGTTTAAATCATTATTAAGTAATATATTTCATTTTTATAGTTTTTTTATTAGTTTTTATCTTTATTTTTCTTTTTATTTGAATTAATTACATGTGAAAAAAATTTTTTCAAATGTTTAAATATTATATTATCAAATAATTTTGTGTCTGAATTTTAAAAAACTTTATTTTTTTTGTATTCAAAAGTTATATGTATATTGTTGACATTAATCACGAATAATTATTTCAACAAAGTTTTTTTTTTTTATAGAAATATTATCAAGGAAAGTGATTTAGGAAAAAAAAAAAAAAAATTACTAAATTATTTTCTTGTCATATATTTTTTATTAAGAGAACTTGAATTCTAAACTTAACCTAATTTTAAATATGAGAGGTATTTTAAGTTTGATAGGAATAACCATCTGTTTGCCTGTTGTTTTTTCTTGTATTTTGATTCACATCATAATTGTTGTTCTTTCCTGAAAATTTTTCATTTTCTTTTTCAATCCCCTTTTTCAATATCATTAACAGAATAACCTGAACGTTTACCTATATAGGTACGAAGATTTGATATCCTGTCCGTCCGCTTTCCTGTTTTTATTAAATGTTCCCTATTTTTCTGTTAAAATTAATTTATTTATCCGTGAATTGTTTTTTTGAAAAATTATATTTTCATTATTGAAAAATTTATTTTAAAATATGTATATATAATAAAAAGAAAATTTAGTTTATATACCTCAATAGATTTAAATTTCATTCTTCTGGCTAATGCTCTGTAGTATTGCTGCCGAAGAACATCCAGAGGGTTGTCAATGCTGAGGGAAGTTTTCATTCTTTTTATTTTTGTATCTTTTCTTTCGTCCTATCATTAAATAAATTTTATATAATTATTTTTATTTAATGAATAATTAAATATTAACATTAAAAAATTAAATGTAATGTACCTGAAATTTATCCAAGGGTTCCAATATATTTGTTGCCAGATTTTGAAAATCTTGAGGGGAATCCCAATTTGTTGTTAATTCATCATTGGACGTTTTCCCTAACAGAAATTCTTCATCTTTAACATCCGGAGGCATAACATTTTCATAAGAATTACCGGAAATGAATGTCTTAAAATAAAAAAAGAAAATTTATTTATTTATTTATAAACATAAGTATTTTTATAAAAATAAAACAAAATACTCACCTGTAACAATTGATGATCGGGATTGGCATAAATTGATGCATTTATAGATGTTAGGGTTAATATTAGAACTGCTGTCACATATTTCATTTTTCTAGATACCTTTCAAACTAATTTTTGTAAAAATACAAAAAAATATTTATTTATTTATTTATTTATTATTAATTTAATTTGTTTAAAAACAAAATATTAACTAACCCCCAAATTATTTGATAATGATATGTGTTAGAAAAGTCTACTAACATTGCTTTTAAATTCTATTGATAAAAATTTTAAAAAAAAGTATAAAACCTTTGGAAAATTTATATTATTGGAAAATATTAAATTTTCTTCATTGAAAAACTATACCATAACTTATAATAATATTATGCGAAATAAAAAAAAAAAGTTTTTCTTTAAGTCACATTTAATAAAAATAAACATTAAAATACATTTATATATATTTAGAAGGAATAAAATATCTATATTACTTTTAATAATATTCATTCTTATTATTATTATTATTATTATTATTATTTTCATTTTCTTATTTTTTTTCTCGTTGTTTTCTACGTAAAATTGATTTTTTTTAAAATTATTATTATTATTATTATTGTTAACAAGTCTTTTCTTTTTTCTTAGGGTTTTATATGATTGATTTATAATCGATATAATGTTTAAAAGTTTTTATTTATTTATTAATTTTTTTTTTTCAACTTTGAAAATTTATTTTAAAAAAAAAAAAAAAAAAAATTATTGATTGTGTAATCAATATATAATTAAAATATATATAATTTTAGGACAATTTTTCAAATAATTTTTTTTTTAGATAATTTGTACAACATTTTAACAGTAGATTAACTCCCCCAATACCCCCCCTTTTTTTGTCATAATTAAGCTTTTCTTGACTTTCTCTCTCTCTCTCTAATGTAATTTCCTGATTCATTTCGATATGATTTTTGTATTAATAAATATAATTTTATCTTTTGATTACAGAATATGTAAAACAAACAAAAAGAAGAAGAAAAAATTCACATTTAACTGCACTTCAAAATTCAAAAAAGAAAATACAACG